ATATTTAATGACTGTTAAAAATTGTTTATTGAAACCATGTGCATCTTGTGTGCTGCTGATCGAATGTTGTATTCCTGTAGTATTTGTATGATAAAAGGATTATGTGAACCAATGATGCTGCAACTGCAGGACTTCTTTAAGGAAATGAACGCAGCATGCAGAGTGTTGAACACTGGAGAGTCTGTGTTAGAAGTAGAGTCGGTTTTGAAAACGGACATCTGGGTTCTGAAATTTGTGGCAAACAAATTTTAAAAAAAAAGTTTATTTCTTCAGTTTTTAAATCTTTCTACTTGTTGGATTGCTTTTCACCTTTCTACATTTTTTATTTACGTTAATATTTAACTGCAACCTTCCCTTATCCAAGTTTTAGAAACTGCAAATAATAACTTGGCTTCTGGTTGGTCATTTGGTATCAGAGTTTTCCCTAAAACAAGTGAAATAATCCGTCAATGCAGGAAAAACCCACTTAATTTTGACAAATATTTCAAAAAACAAGACTATTTGTGGGCTTGTCTAGAAAATTATTAGAATTATTAGACATTTGGTCTAGAAACAAGACTAAAAATGTCAGTAAGCAAAGCTTTTTTGCAGTGTAATAATCTATTATATGTAAATATAGAATCTGATGGTGTTTTATTTACTGTAAATAAAACAAAAGGCTTTCTAGTTAGATTAAAGCGAATCTACAAACAAAAATTTACTTAATAACACACACACAGAAATCAAATGTGTGAATCAAATACTGTAGCTTTTAGATACATGCTATAACTGTACACACACACACACACACACACACTTTCATACAGTGAATATCTCAAACACACACTCGATTTCCTCTGGCATCCGTCCATGTTGTATAAACTGTAGTTAAACGTGTAAAAGTGTGTGTGTGTGTGTGTGTGTGTGTGTATGGTATAAGACGAAACGTGAGCATGTGTTCGTATGTTCAGCGGGTTGAATGAGCGGCTCATCATCAGCTTAGCATAAGTAACGACTGACTGAACATAAATACTACGTTAAGATTACGGCGTACATGTCGTGCCCTTCTTATCCTCTGATACCAAACACTCAAAATCAGACACCAAACTATCAGCTATTTACAAACACAACAGTGACAACACCATGCAGGTTTCAACAGCCAAACACGCAATTTCTCTCAAAACATTAACAAACAAACATCTTTTTAATGTTTTATATGTTTAATTTCTGGTAGACTTGATTGGAGTTTGTTTCAGGCTCTAAGATATACTTAAAAAACACAATAAACACACATGGAAAATAAACTAATATCTCACAATGTTATTTAACACACTCAAAAAAAAGATGTTTGCTGTTTATTTCAAACTAATCGAGTAGAAGCAACACAATTCTTGTGGTTTTTAAGGGAAAACTAATATGTTTTATGTTCAATCCACTTAAATTTGTAAAAACTAATAGCTTAATTCCTTCATGTTGTCCCAAGATAATTCAATAAAGTGGAACCCAGCATTTCTTTTACACAGTAACTTAATTGTTCTGAATTCTGAATCTTGCCATTCTCAATCTCACAGTTTTGTTGTTCCTCCTGTCTATTGTGTCTTATTCTTCACTTAATGGATGTCCAGTTGAATTGTGATGAACCATAAAATATAAATATGCTAAAAGCAAGCACTTTTCTTTAGTTTTCAGTGATTCTGAAGTGTTGAAACAGACGGGCTTTGGCGTTCTGGGTGGTCTGTGATCAGCTTGTGTTATCAGAGGAGCATCACACACATAATTACAGCACATTTCACACGTCTAACATAAACCGGTGTGTGAGAATCTCCCAAATATGGGAGCATTAATTGCTTCATAACTTTCCCTGAGGTGTTTCCACAAATTATGCGCAAAATCAAAACGAGTACAAGAGTGTTCACATGCCAAATGAGCACAAAACAAGGCTTTTTTCATTTGTTTCTAATTTTAAATTGGTTTAAAACAGTCAGAATATGACAAAATAGTTTTAGCTCAAGTGTGCTTTAGAAAAGAAACCAAAAAGCATCACTGAAGTGGAGAACTATTTTAAAAACTGAACCCTGTGCATACACACATTTCTTTCAAATATCAAATTAAAATAATAACTGGTCAGAGTAAGAAATGTTATTACCAACAACTGCATTTTCTCAAGAGAAATGCTCTAAATGACAATATTTCAGTTTGATATTTGGAAAAAAATGTGTGTATGCAAAAAATTCAACTTTAAATATTTTTCCACTACAGTGTTTTTTTTTATTCTGACGGTTTTAAACCAAATTAAAATGAGAAACAAATAAAGAAATTTGACTTCTTTCAAAAACAAAGCATCGTTTTGTGCTATTTATTCCAACAAATATTGATTTCTGTTGTCAATATATTGGTTTTAAGCTAAAAAATGAATATAATGGTGTCTAAAAACATGCCACCTTTTGGTTATTTCATTCAAAACAAATGCTCTATATGACAAGTTTAATTAAATATTAAACCGGTGTGTGATCAAATCAAATTTGGGACCTTTAATTGGTTCATAACTTTCCCATAAGGTGCTTCAACAAATTACGCACAAAATCAAAACGAGTACAAGAGTGTTCACATGCCAAATGAGCACAAAACAAGGCTTTATTTCATTTGTTTCTAATTTTAAATTGGTATAAAACAGTCAGAAATTTACAAGACAATGTAAAATAGTTTTTTTTTAGCTCAAGTGTGCTCTAGAAAAGAAACCAAAGCAGCTTACAAAACATCACTGAAGTGGAGAAACATTATATATATATATATATATATATATATATAAACTCAATGCATAAACACTTTTTATCCAAATATCAAATTGAAATATTGTAATTTAGGGCAATTTTCTTGAGAAAAAAATCATAATTGGTCAGAATATCAAATGTTATTACGAATAATTTCATTTTCTCCAGAGAAATGCTCTAATTGACATTATTTCAGTTTGATATTTGGAAGAAATGTGTGTGTGCAAGAGTTAAAAAAAAAATTCAACTTTAAATATAATTCTTGGTTTTAACTTTCTGACTGTGTTAAACCAACTTATATTAGAAACAAATGAAAAAAGCCTTGTTTTGTGCTCATTTGGCATGTGAACACTCTTGTTCTCGTTTCTGTTTGTGCGTAATTTGTGGAAACACCTTAGAGAAAGTTATGAAGCAATTAATGCTTCCATATTTGAGAGATTCTCACACACCGGTTCAATATTTAATAAAGAATGTTATTTAGAGCATTTGTTTTGATTGAAATATCAAAAATGTGGCATAATTTTAGACATTATTATATTCATTTTTAGCTTAAAACCAATAAATTCACTTAAGAAATGCTTTGTTTTTTTAAGGCGTCAGATTTGTTTATTTGTTTCCACTTTTAAGTTGGTTTAAAACACTCAAAATATTACAATGTATTACAACATAATAATGTAAAGGTCACGTCATGCTTTTGCTTAAAACCCAGTGCATACACATATTTCTTCCAAATATCATATTGTAATTTAGAGCAATTTTCTTGAGAAAAAATTGATAATTAGTCAGAATAAGAAATGTTATAACAAATAATTTAATTTTCTCACGAAAAATGACAATATTTTAACTTGATATTTATAAGAAATGAGTGCAACTTTTAAAAAATCTAAACTTATTTCTCCACAAGGCTTTTTTTCATTTGTTTTTAATTTTAAATTGGTTTAAAACAGTCAGAAAGTTACAAGACAATGTAAAATTGTTTTTTAGCTCAAGTGTGCTTTAGAAAAGAAACCAAAGCAGTTTACAAAACATCACTGAAGTGGAGAAATATTTTAAAAACTGAACCTTGTCCATACACACATTACTTTCAAATATCAAATTAAAATAATAACTGGTCAGAATAAGAAATGTAATTACAAACAACTGCATTTTCTCAAGAGAAATGCTCTAAATGACAATATTTCAGTTTGATATTTGTAAGAAATGTGTGCAACTTTAAAAAAAAAATCCTAATTTATTTTTCCACAAGGCTTTTTTTAATTTCTTTCTAATTTTAGATTGGTTTAAAGCAGTCAGAAAATTACAAGACAATGTAAAATTGTTTTTTTTAGCTTAAGTGTGCTAAAGAAAAGAAACCAAAGCAGTTTACAAAACATCACTGAAGTGGAGAAATATGTATTAAGTGTTGTTTTTAAAAACTGAACCCTGTGCATACATACATTTCTTCCAAATATCAAACGAAGACATTGTAATTTAGAGCATTTATCTGGAGAAAATGATAATGGTCCGAATAACAAATGTTAATCTCAAGACATTTCTGCTGCATACAGTGTGTAATACATCACATTACAACAGTGTAATATTCTGACTGTTTAAAACCAAAACTTCTGTCAAAGACAAAGCATTGCTTCATGCTCATCTGTGATGTGAAATCACTCAATCTCGCCTATTTATTCCACCAAATATTGATTTCTGAAATATTAGGTTGAAATATTAATGTTGTGTTTGCAAAAAATTAATATAAAAATGCCAGCTTTTTTCATAAATTGTATTCAAAACAACAATCTAACATTTTTCTCATTATATATTTACAATAAATGACCTCAATAGTTTACAGATTACACAAAACTCTGATTAGTAAATTCACAGAAACTGAGAACGCCCAAAATACACACGAAAAACCAGCACTGAAGTGAAGAAATAAGTCATATTTACCAAAATAAACTGGAAAAATTAGAGGAATCAATTAAGAAAAACTTATTTGACTATTAATAAAGACTTTAAGACAGAAAAACAAACTCCACAAACTTGATAAATGTTATCTTAACAACTAAACACTGAATTAATTCTACAAATAAGAACATGTCCATGCCATATAACTAATGCTGATGCATATTTCAACTTACTATTTTCTGTCTTGAAAAGCAACAATGCCTGTTTCCGAAGCCTGTACCCATATAAGAGTCTGCTGAAAGCCTAAAACACACACTTTCCCCCGCACAAATGAGCAAAGTGTAAGATAACGGCTCTTACCGAGTGACATTAGCAGCCCGAGTCCTGCGAGATTCTGCTGTAATTAACACAGTCTGCGCACAATAGCAGCCGCATCAGTAACAGTCCATAGTTCTGCGCTCTAACGAGGAATCAAAGCTATGAAGAGATTGTGAATGTAGCTGAGCAAATAGGATTAAAGATGGCTAATTCCATGAGGCTGGAGCACAGCATGCATTAAAGAGGAATTCTCTGGGGAAAGATAATCCCCATATGCGTTTTAACACACTTCAGCGTTCCCTCCTCTCGCTCAAGGACAGTGTCACAATCACACACGCTTGGGCTGATCGAGATGAAGTTTAAGTCGATCCGAGCGGTCCACGTAGAGAACAAATGCACTGTATGCTAACTCCAAAGAGCTCACATCACAACTGAGGAGAACGGTTTGCTTTTGAGGAAAAGTCATTTGTTTCTCATTTTAAATTGGTCTAAAATGGTTGGAATTTATCAAATGTAATGTACAAAAGTTTTTGCTTGAGTGTGTTTCAAAAACAAAGTAGGTTTAAAAAACATCACTGAAGCAAGTTTAAAAACTGAATACACACACACCACACACATAACATCCACACACACATTCACACACACATTCACACACACACTCTCACACACTCATACACTACGGACAATTTAGCCCACCTAATTCACCTGTACCACATGTGTTTGGACTGTGGGGGAAACCGGAGCACCCGGAGGAAACCCACGCGAATGCAGGGAGAACATGCAAACTCCACACAGAAACGCCAACTGACCCAGCTGAGGCTCGAACCAGCAACCTTTTTGCTACTGCTTCGTCCCTGTATCAATCCTGTAAATATATATTCGCCAAAACTTCCCAAAGTGCTCAATAATATTTAGTTCTGGTGACTGTGCAGGCCATGAGAAATGTCTAACTTTACCTAAAAAATGCAATGGTTTGTTTTTGACAAAAGTCATTTGTTTCTCATTTTAAATTGGCCTAAAAGGTTGGAATTTTAGAAGGTAATGTAAAAAAGTTTTTTCTTGAATGTGTTTTAAGAAAAAAAAAAAAGTAGGTTAAAAAAACACATCACTGAAAAAAAGTTTAAAAACTGAATATACACACACACCATATCTCTTCTTATCAGTGCTGTCAAATGATTAATCACATCCACAATAAAGGTTTGTATTTACATGATGTTTCTGTACTGACTGTGTATTAATATT